CACCTCAAGCACCTCTATTGGAGCCTTAATCACACTGCTTGGGGTATTTTCCAGGCTCAACATAGTAGCAAAGGTCTGCTCACCCTAGCCAACTACATGGCAGACAATATTTTGGTCAACTGAAAGCGCCCTGTTTAACTAGCACCGCACATTACTCCCTTAAGTCTAGGATACATATGCAGTCATTGTGCGGTACAAGCATAGCCTGAATTCGATCCAAAATTTCGATCCCCATAACTAGCTTGCAGTCGTCCATCGGAATCACCTCTATATTTTCAACCCCATGCCATTGTCCCAACTGCACATTTATCCCCTTAGCAATACCTTTGGTGCGTACTCTCTTATAGTTTATAGTCTTAACCCAACCCCTTGCACTGTCGACCTTGATGCCCAACTTAGCGATGCATTATTCAGACACAAATAGATTGGAAGCACCCATGTCCACCAAAGCTTCCACAGGTTGACCTGCTATAATCAATTCTGCATACATGAGCCTTTTGGCTCTGCTGCCAGACTTGTTCATTACTCTCAACAGCATTGAACCCAATTTGACTACCTTAACCGGTTGCTCCTCCTCCTAGGAGGCAATTGCCACTAGCTTTGAGCACTTGAGGTAGTCTTGAACCTAATGCGGGTCGTCACATAGGAAACAGCTTTTAGGCTTGTCCTCTTTATTTTCAAAAGGCTTCCCTTTCCAAGTAGACTTGCCTTTCTAATTTGATTGTGGCCTGCCATCGCCACTATCTTTGTCTTTGGGCTGCTTGCCCTTGTTTGCCCAGCCCTTACTTTTATCCTTAAGCTTGGTTGGTGAAGCTTCGTCCTTGTCCGATTTAGAGTAATCAACCAAACTCTCAGCCACTACCATAGCCCGAGTGAGGTCCTACACATCTTTCCTCTACAGCTTCTACTTGGCCCATGGCTTCAAGCCGTCTATGAAAGTAAAGAGAGCTTCTCTTTCCCCTAGATTACCCACTTGTTGAGCTAGCTTACTGAGTTCTTTAACATATTCTCAAATTTCTCTACGTTGTACCAATCGACGCAGCTTACCCTTAACCTCATCCATGGCGTATTCCAAGTAAAATTGTTTGAGTAAATCACTCAAAAATTAGTCACGTGAGTACTAACGCTCCCTCGAGCTTATTATTGCACTGCCTCCTTCACTAAAGTAATGTTGTATCTCCCAAATATATGAAAGCCGCGATGATCTCGTGGTCATCCGTAGCAATCTTAATGACCTTGAAGTACTGCTCCAACTCTCAAAAAAAGTTATCAATTTCCTTGATATCCCTTTGGCCATAAAATTCTCTCGGTTTAGGCACTTCAAGCCTCACCTTTGATAGTGCGGTAGCCTCTTGGCCACCTACGACTTTTGCCATGCAAACTTCCGCTCTCAATTCCTCCAATTCATGCCTCAAGGACTCCAACATGCTCTCGAGCTAAGCATTTCTCTCGATCATAGTCTCAAGGGTCTCTCTCACCATTTTCTGGACCTCCCCTTTGAGCTTTTCATCCCGAGCATTGAGCTCATCCATGTACTCTTTTTGCACATCAAGGCGGTCTCACATCTCGTCCACTATCACTTCCACCCTTGACAGCCTAGCGTCGAGAGGAAACATAAGGTCACGTGAAGCAGACTTACCCCTTCAACCAACACGAGTTTCCCTTCCCTCGAGTGTGGCGTTTGGCATACTTGACCCATTAATAGCCATTTCTTACTTCCGATCACCTCCTATAAAGCTTGCAAACTATGGCGTGTGGTATGATTGCAAACTATTCGCAAAACTGATCGCAAACTATCCCAACAGCTGGTAGTCTCGTAGTTAATCATAAACTGCTTTGATACCACCTGGCACGTGGTGGTTCTTCAGACCACCCAATTGTGCGACCTTGGATTCAACCTTTAGCTCAGACCTGAAACCCAAGTCAGTCTAAAGTATGCCTACTAAGTGATTTTCAAGGCCACTAGGATCAAGAAACAACATAATATGCAATATGTAATGCAAGCACACCCACCTTAACACTAAGGACTAGCCCAGCAAGCACTAATCACACAAGCACAGCAGCACACAGCTTCCGGTCAGCAGGCTTATAGCACACCCACACAATAGTATACAACTTTCAATTAGCAAGCAAACACACACATAGCACACTAGGCCTTAAGCCAGCAAGCAAGCATGTAATAGAAGATTGAAGTAAAGAGAGATGAAAAGAGAACTAGAGAGAATTTGAGAGTGAAAATTGTGTATTCATTAGGTCATCAACTATACATATCATTTACAAGGGCTATTTATAGCCAAAATTTCCCTCCAAAAGTGGACAAGACATTTTTAAACTGGAGTGTCACAATTCTAATAGTTCAGGCCATTACAACAGCTGGGATAGTGGGCTAGCATGGTGTCTGGGTTGCCCACAAGTAGTGTGCCTAGGCGCTATATGGGCTGGCTCTCCCAAGGGCTGATGCTGTGTGCCCTTACTAGGCAGCTTGCATCTAGCTCATACTACCAAGTGAGGGTTCTCTCCCAGCAATACTCCACCATATGCCAGCACTCCAAAACACTATCGGGCCTTTTCTAATGTTCTGAACTGCAGTCGATGATAGTAAGACTATGTAGTTGTAATAACCCTAAGTTAAACAGGTCATGGCTTTAAAATAGAGTTAAGTACAACCATTTCTTTGCTACTTCCAAGACACGTTTTGCAAAGTTAAGTTGGATTCTCCACTTCAACTCTGACCAGAGCTCATGGACAACTAAATTATTTTATTTTATGTACCAATATGAAAAAAACTTGTAAAAGTCCAACCAAAAAAGAAATTGGCAGATTAACCAATGGATAATAGAGTACCTTGGACTACCCCTTTAAATTAAGTAAGATTAGAATATTTTATAATCAGGTTCAAATTAATGTATTTGGATAGGATTCATGTAGTGATTTTAGTCTACTTACTACTTGAATCTTGTTATAAATAATAATTTTTTATATTAAATTATAGTTACATATAATTTTTTTTATTTATAAATTCTTTATAATTAATGTAATATTTACTATAATTCATTAATAGTTCTAAATATAATTTATTTTTGGCATAGTTCTCAAAAAAGCCTTAAGCTATTCAATAAAATTCAAATAAGCCTCGATTTTTATTTTTTATTATTTTTAACTAAGCTTTTATATTTTTATTTTAGATTAAATAAGTCATTATGACTAATGATTAACTAATTATTATTAGTTAAAATACTATTTGTCATTTTATATTCGCATGGCACTGACATAACGTTATTGTGGAGGGTGAAAAATGCCACATAATCATATTATCATATAAAATTAACATGTCACATCGTCATCAATTTTAATATGTCAACATACCACATTAATATCAATTATATTATGTGAGCAGGTCATATCAGTACCATGCGGTATAAAGTTACTAATACTATTTTGATTAAGTTAACCATTATTAATAAGAGTTTATTTGATTCAAAATAAAAATATAAGAACTCATTTGATTCAAACTAAAAATACAAGGACTTAATTGAACGTAATAAAAATATAATGATTTAATTCAACTTTCTTAAATAGTTTAGGAGTTTTTTAGATATTATGCCTTTTTATTTTTTATGAATTAACTTTAATTTATTAATTTAATTTTCATTAGTATATACAGAGAAAGTTATTTTAAATTATTTTAATCGTGTATTTAATGAATTACATTTAAGATATTCGGATACGGATTAGGTTAACAAATTAAAAAATTAATTGAATATTTATAGGGTCTGAGTGCCTTATCAAATAATAAGATTTGGGTTAAAAAACCACAAAAACAACAAGTATCTTACCGGAAAACATTCCTAATCGAAATATACAAAAAAAAAAACCAAAAAAATATTTAAGAGCTCAAACGTCTAGGTTATTGGTTATGTGTAATTAGTTTGGATTGTTTGTCAGACAAAATAACATTATTCTCAAACACAAAAACTAAATGCCCATGAATTAATTCTTACTTATTAATCTATGCTATTTGTGAGTAGTCTTATTGTATTTATCGATTTCTATCTGTTTGAACTAGGCAGCATTTTTGAGAAAAAGAAAACATAAAAGGGGAGGAGAGAGTGTGTGGTATGCTACCAAAATTTAATAATTACAAGCACTAATATTTGCATTGTAAGTGTGGAAGTTATACTTTGGTGTCCTTCGACCTTACTTCACATCACACCTTCTAATTTGGTGATAGTTTTTCCTTGAACGATCCATCCTCTCCTCCTCCCACCCCACATATATGCATTCATTGCCTTTACTCTCTACATGCCCCAAACCGACACCAAACACACTAAACTTACCCAAAACCAGCAACCCTGCATAATTAGGTTTCGTTTGCTTATTTATTAAGATTATAGAAAGTAAAAGAATAAACTATATAATTAACATATCTCTTCAAGTAAAAGTATATGAAAATTTCATTGAGAGAAAGTTTTACAAAAATTATCCTACAAAATGATAGTGATATAAGAGTGTATAAAAAGATATATAAAATCTCCTTTTTAACTTAATCTGCGTATATAAAATAAAATCAAATCTATCCAGTTAGGATTAAAGTCCTTTAATTAGCAGTACTTTTCCCAAAACTATTAGTAACTTGGGTTTTTAATATTCTCAAATATATCATCTTAAATTAAGGACCCTTTGTTGGCACTTTACCCAAGACCATTACCAACTTGAATTTTTCTTATTGGCCATTACTAACTTGCTCCAATTCACGTGATCTCTCTCGCTTTCTCCTTTTGGTAAGAGATAAGAAACAGCAGGACAAGAGAAACATACCAAAACGTTATAGTTTCCATCTTAATTCTTATCAACACAAGAAGATAAATTATAAATAAATAAAAATTAAATTAAATTAATTTAAGATGATCTAGCCACATGGTGTCTCTCTGTCACCAAGGCATGCATGTATGTATAGAAGAACACCTACGTAGGCAGAATCTACATACCCATAAATCAATATGCAAGTCTTCCATTCCTTAGTTTCTTCTTCTTCTTCTCTCTTGGCCTTTCTTCTCATTCTTTCCTCACCTTTGCTAACCTCACCCCAATCCCAACCCCAACCTCCTTCCATTGCATGCAAATCCACTCCCTACCCAAAGCTCTGCCGTTCGATTCTCTCTGCCTTCAAATCCTCGCCCTTCAACTCCTACAACTATGGCAAGTTTTCTGTCAAAAAGTGCCTTAAACAAGCCAAGAAGCTTTCCAAGGCTATCAACCGTTACCTTACCCACAAAAAATACACCTCGTCGACCCACTTGGACGCCGGTGCAATGCAAGACTGTGCCCAACTGGCCGACCTCAACGTTTTTTCCTTGGAGAAGATCTCCGCCTAGTTGAAGTCGGCTGACTCCATGACTGAGGCATTGGTGGACCGAGTCACGAGTCTGCTCAGTGTGGTGGTGACTAACCAACAGACTTGCTTTGATGGGCTTGCGGATGCTAAGAGTAGTTTCGCTAGTGTTTTGGCAGAACCACTGGCCAACGTGACTCGGTTGTACAGTGTCTCGCTTGGGTTGGTGACTCGCGCATTGGACCGGAACCTTGAGCGACGTAATAGAAGTAAGGGGTCTATAAACCAGGGTCCTTTGAAGAATGGGGTTCACCAACCACTCGAATCACCCATTGAGGTAACAAATTTAGTGTAAATTGTTTAGTGCTTCAATTTTCTTTTTATATATATTATACAAGAAAGGACTCTTAGTTTAAATTATATAAAAATTATGCAAAAATAATAAATCTTATCAACAGAATATATTCCGTCAATAAATATCGATAAAATGTTGACCAAAAATCGATAAATTGATTCACAATATATTAACAACGAAGTATTGACATAACATGTCGTTTTATAAATCTTGTGTTTTAGTTTATACATTAGAATTCCTAAATTCTAGTGTTGAAGTACATTCTTATCATTGTTTATCTTCATTATATTTCACCCCTTTTTGTTTATTAGAGAGAAAGAAATATACCCATGCATTTGAATGGTGCTATAAGAGTTACTACTATGAATATTTTATGGGGCCATAAAGTTAGGTCAAACTCTAATAGATTTCAATTTTGCTTTTATTATGTATATATAGCATAGAGCATATATAGGAGGAGCAATAGTTTAGTGGGTTTTAATTGTTTGTATAGTTTCTAAGTATAGCTTATACCCCATTAACGTGTAGATTTCGTTCTCTCGTATAAATCTAAACAAATTTTTTTGTTTTTTCTTTTCTTTTCTATTTTATTTTATTTTTTAATTTTGGGCAAAAGTAACGAAGTAAAAACCTAAATTTCCGGCCGCATCTCATTTGGCACGTGACCAAACACACGAACATGAAAAGAGAGAGAAGTCACGTGGGTTTGCATTTTGCACTTGAGCTTAGCTTCCATTAAATTAGTGCTGACTGTGAGCTAATGGGCAAACCGCGTTATTTATGTATCAAACTAAAATTATTTTATTTTATTGTTAGATTAAATACAAAAAGTCAAAATAAGTAAACAATAATACTCTCATATATCCAATAAAAAAATAGCATATATATCATGGAATTATGAGTTTTTTTATTTATATTTTTTAATTATATATTATATAAGAATGTCAATGAATACTTTATAATCAGACATCTTACATTACACAATCTAATTAAATAAGATTAATATATTTTATAAATGAGTTTGGATAATAAAACTACTACCTGTTATGGGTTTGTGTACTAGTTTTAGTGTAGCTATTATCTGAACCCGATTATAAATAATAATTTTAAATTTTAATTTTATATATATTATTTTTTGTTTATAAGTTTCTTAAAATGAATATAATACTTTCTAAAAATTTATTGATGGTTTTAATATGATTTAAAACTTTAATTTATTAATTTAATTTTTACTAATAATATACATAAAAAATTAATATAAAATTATTTTAATAAGATATTCAATTGATATGAGTATTTAATGGGGAATGTCCAAGATGTTAAAGATAAAGGTTAGGTTAATAATTTAAAATTTTAATAGTGTACTTATAAGTTTGGGTATCTTATAAAATAATAGAGTTCATATTAAGATATTTTAAAAATAATAGGTATCTATTGATTGACATCCTTAGTCTTAACTTCAAGTTTGGTTCTCATATTACTTATTTTATTATCTATTATTTCTTCAAACATATTACTAATCATATAAATCACAATTTATAATTATATCTCAGGCACGTCTCAATCCCTTAACACCACATGTTATTGAGACAATTTCCCCAACACAACCAAAGGGTTTTGTTTCACTGTACTACTGTGCTCTAATGTGTGTGTATATTTATACAAGTGATAAATTATACTAATTGACCTAACCCATAATTTGGCGCTGGCTCTACGGAAAACTTCACATGGCAACAAATCAACAGATCCTTCTAGGGGACAATGGATGCTTATTGAAGCACAGGGCAAAGGAGTTCTCGTTAGAGATACAGTCATAGTTGGTCCATACGATGGCGACAACTTCACAACCATTGGGGAAGCCATTGCTTCTGCACCCAACAATTCGAATCCCTAAGAAGCGTATTTCATAATCTATGCTAGACATGGATATTACCAAGAGTTTATCATCGTCCCCAAAGAGAAGAAGCACATTATGCTGATTGGAGATGGAATCAATACGACCATAATCACCGGCAACCATAATAGGATCGATGGCTGGACAACTTACAATTCTTCAACCTTTGGTATGAACATCAGATTTTTCTCTTACTTTTCCAAGTTATGGGTTTCTTTGGTGTAATCTTAGCTCTGATTTGACTCTTTATAATTTGTGAACTTTGTAGTTGTCAATGGAGAGATATTCGTAGCCGTAGATGTTACATTCCAGAACACAGCGGGTCCAGAGAAACACCAAGCCGTGGCAGTGAGGAACAGTGCTGACTACTCCACATTCTACCGGTGCAGCTTGGGCATCAGGATACACTTTACGTACATTCCCTGAGACAGTTTTACATGGAATGTGATATCTATGGAACAGTTGATTTCATTTTCGGGAATGCTGCTGCTGTATTCCAAAGCTGCAACATCTATGCTCGGAAGCCATTGCCTGAACAGAAGAACACCATCACAGCCCAAGGTAGGACTGATCCGAATCAAAACACAGGCATTTCGATTCAGAATTGCACGATTGAAGCTGCACCGGACCTGGCAAGCAATTTGAGCTCCAACTTGAACTTTTTGGGTCGACCCTGGAAGCAGTATTCCAGGACAGTGTTCATGCAGTCGTACATTGATGAACTGATTAGTCCCCCTGGATGGTTGGAATGGAATGAAACGTTTGGACTTGACACTCTATATTATGGGGAGTTTGGAAATTATGGACCAGGTGCTAATACAAGCACGAGAGTGAAATGGCCTGGTTATAGTTTATTGAATGCTACGCAAGCTATGGGTTTAACAGTCTACAATTTCACCATGGGAGATACTTGGTTGCATGAAACTGATATACCCTTCTCAGGAGGCTTATACCATTGATGATATATATATATATATATATACACACACACACACGTAATCTTTACTACTTATTAAGCATCCAACTAAACCACTTAATTTGAATCATATATACCATGTGTTCCCAATCTTTGATTAAGTCATGTGGTCTGACATTTGATCAACGAGGTTATTAAGGGATGATAATATAAAGGAAATGATAAAGGAGTTCAAATAGGCCAAATAAAACATATAAAATGTTTGTTTTTAAAGTTTATATTATTTACATATGTTATCATTATTTTTATTAAAGGTGGTAAAATATGATTGAACTTGAAAACTTGCACGAATCAAAATCTAAAATTGAACTCTATCTGCTTTGAACTAGTAAAAGAAAAAAAGTCAAAGAATCAAATCTAGAAACAATCAACTAAGAAAAAAAATCTAAATCAGATATAATTAAACTTGATCAGACAATGTGATTCAAAAGCACACCAAACTTGAAACAATTCGAGCCTGAAGTGATTGATTGATCTAATTCAAAACTCGTAAAAAATTCAAATTTGTAACCAAAGTTCCTTAACCTATAATAAATGATTTTTTTCAAAATAAGTAAAATCCACAAATGATAAACTTTTTTTAATGAAAATTCTAAATTTTTAAAAATTATTTATGATTATTATACAACTAAATTTGACTCTCATGCTCATTCAATAAAACAATAAATATGCATGATCAACTTATCAAACACATACATCAATATACTAGAATGTAGTTAGATAGATTCGGTCCTACATCAATATACTAAATTTTTTCAAAATTTTGTAATTTTCAAAATTAAAATATAATATATATATATATATATATTGCATTAAACACTTTGTTAGCTTTGAAATTTATCCAAGTTTGGAAATGACAAAATTCAATGTTCTAAATATGCATTGGAGCTAAATGTAAATAATTTTGAAATGGAAGAATTTTTCCCTTGGTGTTTTAAAGCTGTTTATAAAAAGATAGATTTATATGAATGCTTTAAAACCAAAGTTCCAGCAAGTAAGAATTGACTTATGAAAGTGAAGCATCAATTCCTGCAAAATAAAAGGCAATATATCTTTTTTGTAATAAGAAGGAATCAACTTGCTAGTAGAGGAACTATCCATTATGAAGAAATAGAAAGTTATTAGATTGCGAGAATCAACCTCTAAAAAAGACTCAAATTGATTCTTGAGAAGGTAGAAGCAAAATGAAGAGCCATTGGACAAAGATAATTGACTTCTCAAGTCACCAATGATTTATTCCTTGAGCAACAATGAAGAAAATTGGGAAACTTGTTGAAAAAGCAAAGGAAGAGAAAAGGAGAAGATTTGAGCAAGAAAATCAAAATTTGAAATTTCAACTTGCCTTCTAAAGAAGAAAAATCGATATTTGGAGAGAGTACAAATCAATTCATGTGAAACAGAGTACTTCAGACTTGAAGGGAAAAGAAAAAAATCGATTACTCAAGAGCTCAATGATCGTTTCCTAGCAAACAAAAAGCATCGAGCTCAAAATCAAGACAAGAGGAATCGACATCTAAAGAGTAGAAAGATTGATTTTTTAAAAATAAAATGTCGCAGGCTACAAAAAATCAACTTCTCAAAAGATCAGTAATCAACCCCTAAAGGATGGTTGACACGATTCAAATTCGCTCAACTTTTGAAATTTGAATATTTCTTTCTCTCTAATGGGCAGAATTCAAGGGTGACTATAAATATCCTTTAAGAACTTCATTTAAAAAGACAAAAGAACACCAAGAAAAAAAAGAGAGAAAATCTTCATTCCAGAGGAAAAAAAGCTTTTATTCTCAAGTCTACATCTTTTTCACTCTACAACACTCTCAAAAACAAAACATTCATTCTTAAGCTTACATTCTTTGATTCATTTCCATTTCATGTACTTATACTTTGTTGATTAGCCTATCTAAAGGCAACAAATCTTGCAATCCACTAGTAAAAGGTTATACCTCCTTGAAAAGGTAAAAAGGTTATAATTGAGTATGTGAAAAAGTAGTTTAGTTATACCTCCAATAAAAAGGCAAAGAGGTTATGCCTAAACCTTGAAAAGACAATGAATTTGTGATAGGTTGTACTTAATCCTTAAAAGCCAATTGGTTGTGAAAGTTATGCCTAAACCTAGTTGAAAAAGGTAATTGATAGTGGATTCAAACTCCTTGTGATTTCAAAGAAGATGACGTAGGCATTGTGAGGTCGAACCTCTATAAAAATCGTAGTTGTGCTTTTTTTTTTTCTTTCCTTTCACTTTACTTGGTGCACATCTTATTTATCCGTGTTGATATTGTTTGATCTTCAACGTTTATGCTTAAAGTTTTAATCTTTAACTAGTTCTTCAAGGAATGTGAAATTTTAATTTAAAAATGAATGCACTCTCTATTGGTTGTTTTTACCCTAAGCTTCTTCAACAAACAACTGGTATTAGAGCAGGTTCTCAAGTTTTACAAGTTTAATAACCTTTAAAAGTTCCCAAAGAAAAAGCTTGAAGTAGCATAAATGGCTTTAACAAACTTTGTGGGTGAAGGCCAATTGATGATGAACCTCCACTCTTCACTAGTGAAAACTATCCATTTTGGAGGATGAGGTTTGAAAATTTTATTAAGTCTATGAATTTAGATCTTTAAGATACCATCTTGGAGGGACCTCACGTTCCCACAAAACTTATATATAATGTTAGACACATCAAGACTAAGGTTGAGTAGGATGACAAAGATAGGAAATTGGTTCAACAGAACCATAAAACAATAATTGCCTTTCTACATGCACTTAGTGAAATTGAATTTAATAGAGTAGTAATGTGCACATCTGCCAAAGAAACTTAAGACACATTAGAGAATTGTTATACTGGCATTAGGTAGGTAAAAAAGTCAAAGGTTGGGTTATTGACTCTAGCTTATGAACTATTTAAGATGAAAAAGGAAGAATCGATCAACAAAATGTATGAAAGGTTCACCAAGATTATAAGGGAACTGAAAGCATTAGGAAAAGAATTTCCAAATGCTTAATTGGTAAAGAAAATCCACTATTTTCTTCTTAAATCATAGGGATCAAAGGTGATAGCTAGTGAAAAAACAAAGGATTCAAACAACCTTAAGCCAGATGAACTACGTGGATCTCTACTTACCCAAGAGATGCAACTAAAACATGAGAAAGAAAAGGAATGAAGCAATCAAGGGAAACATTAAGGAAAAAGGCATAGCTCTTGAGATTGTTAAAGGAAATCTTGGAAAGAACCTACAAGAAAATGAACAAGAGAAGGAAAATGATAAAGAAAAAACCTTGTTGATTAAAAAATTCAATAGATTTTTGAAGAACAAATAAGGTGAAAGAAGTAGGAAACCTTTTGGAAAGAGTGTACCAAAAGAAACCTAACGAAAAAACTAACATGTTGAAAGTCAAGCAAAATCATATTTTTTACTACGATTGTTGAAAACTAAAACATATCAAATATGAATGTCCAAATGTCAAGATGGACTACCTAAAGAAATAAAAAAAAAGGCAATTGTGGTTGCATAGAGTGATGAAAATGGGTCCTAAAGTGAAGAAGATGAGGAAATTGCAAATTTTTGTCTCACGACCTTTAACGACTCCAAAGATGAGGAAAAAAAATACTTGAAGTCAGTTGTACAAGAAAACAAATCGCAATACATTGATGCTGAATGCTTAAGTCATGTAATAATTGTTGAAAAGGAGATTATGGCCTTAAAAACAAATAAGGAAGATATGTCATTTCAGGGCAATGCAAAAGGCAAAGTTGAAGATATTGATGCTGTAACCTTCATGGACATAGAATCCACTGCAACAACCTTTAGCTATGGACAATCAATCATCGAGCCTCATTCTTTAAAAGGCAAAAACTAAAGTTAAGGGAAAAAGGAAATGAAATTATACATTCAGGCAAAAGACTATGAAATTTAGAAGATAATCAAGGATGGTTCTTTCAAATTGGACAAGAAAATGGATGATTGGGATTCAAGTGGCCTTGACAAGATACAACTAATTCAATGCTAAAGCCATGCATCTTTTCCTTTCTATACTTGAAAATAAAGATTATCGTGAGGTCTTTTGATGTGACAATACTAAAGACATATGGGACAAACTAGAAGAAATGTATGGAGAAGGAAAGGAGTTAAAAGAAGAAGATAATTTTGCAAATGAGAGCTCAACAAGTGATGATGAATCAAACAAATTTTGACTCTCGAGGCAAGGTTATGTGTTAAGTCCTTTGTCTTGTGAATCATGTTCATTTTCCAATGATGCTTTAGAAAAAGCCTTTGATGAACTAACCTATGAATATGAGAAAATGAAGTTGAAACATGAAGAGAGGATTTCAAATCTTAATGTTGAAAATGAATTCTTGAAAAATTAAAAACTAAATTTAGAAGATGAAAGTAAAAGATTAAGAATTGATGTTGATATTTTTTTTTTGGAAAAATTTGATGCTTTGGGAAAGGAAAATGAAAAGTTAATTTTTTTTTTTTGAAATGTTAAGAAGAAAGCTGACTGAGTTGATATTAAGAGTAAAAAGTGTGAATCCTATAAACAAAATTTTATGTCTTAGACTAACAAAAAAATCCAAAGAGATTTGGATACCCAAAATGAATGAAATTAACTCTTGTAAATGAATTAGATTAAGGAGAAATGAGATCTTGAAGATTGATTGGATTTTAAATGTATGGTGGAAAATGAAAAAGAGAAAAATAGGAATCTCTGTTACCTCATCAATCTTCATCAAGGCTTAAAGAGGTAAATCTTTTATTCTTTAACTTATTCTTCTTAATCCTTGAAGCAAATGTGGTATGTATACGCTTTAGCTGCATCTACTTGGATAATATGTTGAAATGCCTACAAAATTGTTGCATTTGCATAATATTTCATGCATAGGCATCACCTAGGTCAAAAAGATCTCTTAAGAATTGATATTTCATAAAAAGGAATTGACTTTTAAATTTACAGGATTTTCCTAAAGTTTTTTTTATTAAACACTAGGAA